ATGTCAATTTATTCTGGTATGAGTAACAAGACTATTGAAGTTCTTAACAAATAATTTTAAAAAATACACATAATTTTTCTAGCCGGTGGGCTCTGAACTTCCGACACGCATGGAGACAATTAGAATTAGATCTAATTTGGGAAGTACTCACGAGAATTAGCACTTTAAAAGCATAATAAATCATGGGTGATTATTAAGAGAGAATGGACATTGAAGAGAGCTTGGGTTTGAAGTATTAGTTTGGAGATTTTAAGTTACTGGCATATTCAGTAATAAAGTGCTTAAGCTTAGCTAATTAGCTCAAAATTTAATGACTTTTTTAAAAATTTTCAACAGAAAATATGCAATTTCAATCAAGTTTAATTTAAAATAACTGTAAAATTGCAAAATGACAACAAATAATGATTGCTGTAGACAAAAAACTATTCAAATTGTTTAATCGACATCACAAAGACAAGCTTGATTTAAAAGAAATGATACAAAACTAAAGAACTTTACAATTCAAACCTATAATAGCTCAAAACTTCAAATTAGAAATTCCCATTAATGCATAAATTATCTGCCATATTTTATTCAAATTAAATTTATAAGCACCATAACATCAGTTCCAAAAACTAAAAGAGCAAAAAAAATCAACTTTTGTCTACTATTGTTGAGAAAATATGCTGAAAATGTGATAAAAAGAATTTTTACGACATTAAAACTTCCTCTAAAGACTCAATACATAAGAATGAATATATAATCAAGGATGGAGCACCAACATCACACGAATTGAAAAAAAAAACTAAGACTAGCTTTATATTCGATTAAATCCCTCTCAAAAAAAATAAAAAAATAAAAACTTTTTCCATTCAACGTTATTTATTTGTCACAGAATAAATTTCAATGCTGTTAGATCTACTTCCAATGACTGACAATTCTGTCAGTTATTTATTGAAGCAAATTTTAAGACAAGGCATGAAGAAATTCTTTATATACAAGCTGTGAAAATTTATTTAAAGCTTCAAAAAAGCTTTAGCGTTCAGCCGGATGATATAGAAGAGATCTTGATTTGATAAAAATCAAAGAACAAAACAAAAGTCAGACACATTTTGGCATGCTATTTCTCAAATTTATTTATTTATTTCTTCATTTCTCGGAATTACAAAATGAAAGTCGCGACAAAAGCGAGAGAGAAGAAATAAAAAAATAAAAAAAAGTTTCTTCCTTAAGCATTTGAGAATTCTGAGAATTTTTAAAAGAGGTAGAATGACAGGAAAGTACGACAAAATGAGGCATGCTTTTTCGTAATTTGAGAGATATTTTAAGCATTTATAAAAGTTTTTCTTGGAAAAGTTCATTATGTTGACATTTAGAGGCAGCCAAAGGAGAACAAATGAACAAATATTTTAAGAAATATATTAATTTTCCTGTCGATTGATATTAATGAGGTTAAACTAGCTTTTTAAGAATCACGTGGAAATTTTTGGGGGATCTTAAGTAGTTCTTGGGGATCTAAGCAATTATTCTATAGCAAAACAAGTCATATTTAAAAAGAACTGAATCTACTTCTCATGCTTTTGCCCTAGACCACCAAATTATGATGTAAGGGCATGAATTTTTTTTTTGCAGTTCATGAAAATGGATATGGCAGTAAAAATGACTTACACCTTATCAGTCATGATAAATTAATGTTTTGCGTTAAAAATGATATGCTGCAGCTTTATGCTTCAAATTGATAGAATATCAAAAAAAAAAACAAATTTCACCAACTGAATCTCAATTCATCCAACCCAAATAAAACTATTACTTTAATGATTCCAAATTAAACAATAATATTTACCCAATAAATCGTACATCATAAAAATCAAAGCTAATCATGTGTGGTAAAAGGATGTAATCTGTATGATCATCATTCTCTTTAAAAAGCACACAGAAAAAAAGAAAAACATTTGTATTTATTCTTCTCAGAAAATTTTCTTCATCCCTTCCACCCAAAAATACACAAATTCTCTCATTCTCGTTCCGAAATCGCTTTTTTACGCTTACTTTCCATCTTCTTACAGACTAAATAAAATGTTTTCAATTTTATTTTTTTCATATGATTTTTCCTTGAATGAAAACGTTTTCTAGGTCAGTATTCCTTTTCTTTATATGAAACATAATAAAAAAATATGTAACGAAAAAAAAATAAAAGACAGAGACGAGGAAAAGAAAATACGGAGGCGAGAGAGACGGCAAAAAGGAAAAGAAATATAAAAAAATTTTGATAAGTTTCTTCATCGTGTGGGTTGATTGACTTAAACGCATTTTTATAAATTAAATAAACAGTTTTTAAAGATTTAAATTTTCAACGGATATTTGTGATTTGAAAAGAAGCTGAATTTGAAATTGTCGTGCTTAGGAGTGTTTTGTATTTTCCCGAAAAGCAAAATAACGAATAACAATTTTTACGAATTTTCAAATTTACGAATGTTCATTTTTACGAAAATTTTTATGGTAAAAACTTATAGGATATAATTTGAATCTCAAAAAACCGTTGGATAAAATCAAATATTGAGACAGTTAAAAGTAATTTAATCATTTAAATGCGATTAGATATGATAAAATAATTATTAAAAGATGATGGATTAATAGAACTGAAAAAAAGATTTGCATTTATTTAAATGTGAAATATTTTTTCTATAAAAATTTTATTTTGCTATAAAATTTTCTCATGGAATTACCCATAAAACAAGAAAAAATATTACACATTTAAATAAATGCAATTCTTTTTGTAGTTCTATTAATCCTTCATCTTATAATAATTATTATATCATATCTATTCGCATTTAAATGATGAAATTGATGTAAATTGTCTTTTAATGTTTGATTTAACAAACGGTTTTTTGAGATTCAAATTATATCCTATAAGTTTTTATCATAAAAATTTTCGTAAAAATGAACATTCGTAAATTTGTAATTCGTAATAACGGTTATTCGTTATTTTGCTTTTCGGGAAAATACAAAACACTCCGTGCTTAGTAATAGTCGATCGTTCCCGAGTCTACCATGATATCAGTAACTTAGCAGTTCTGACCAGTTTGTCAACAATACAGTTAGATAGAATACTACATTGTAATCATAGCTAGGATAGAAATGTAAAGCATAAGTTCAACTCTCAGTCAGCCTACCAAAGTGCCTAATTGAACTACTTTTTCTCAAAACATCTGTTGTCAAAAATCACATAATAAAGAAGTGAAGTAAGTGAAGAACATTCTTGTACTGCTCATATTTTTCTTTCTTTTTTACATCGTCTCTATATTTTTTTTGTTAGATGCGTTTGTGTCTTCTTTTCCATTTATCGCTTTTTTTTCTTTTTCCATTTACTTGATTCTCGCCATCATCGTCATTTTTCCTTTTAAAGCCCATTTCTTTCTTTCTATTTTGATATGCTTTTTTAGTATTATTATTATTATTATTATTATATAACCGATTTATACATATTTCTCATGTGTTTTCCCTTTTTTTCGCGGTATTATTACTTCATTTTCATTTCACTTCTCTTTTCATCGTCTGTTGTTATTTTTTTTTATTTCATTCATTCATACTATCCCCCATTCACATGCTCCTACTGACTTTATTCTCATATGATTTCTTTGATACTTTTTAGTTCTGTTTTTGTTTTTTTTTTGTGTGGTTATTTTTCTGCTGCACCGCACACACACTTTATATATCGAAAAAAAAAAAATAAACGCGAGTGAGAGAGACACAGACCAAACAATGTGTTTTTCAAGGTCTAACATACGCATGATTTTTTTTATGTACTTTTTTTTACTCAAACAGTCTTTTCTATTATGAATGTCGCTACTACCGTCGCTTGATAAAAAAAGAGTAAATGACTAGAGTTGGAAACTTCATGTGACGTGCGTGCACAATTTTTATTTTATTGTCTATTATTAGATAATTTTAGAACTTTTTAATCTTGGTAAGCTTTAACTAGAGGGAGGGGATGGAGCATCCAGATGGAATTCATTTAAGTATTAAAAAAATAAGAATCAATTTTTAATAAGGACTGGTTCTGTAGCAAAAAAGAATTATATAGCATAAATATCCTTCCAGTGTCAACACTCTGTAACGTCAATCTTTGCTTACATGTTTTTAAAATATCATCGAATATGGTTAAGAATAACATTCAGATTAGACAAGTCAATGATGTTCATAGATATCGAACGCGTACCCGAGAAAATTTTGTAACTCCCAACTATCAAACGCACTTAAGCAATCAGGATTATTACGGTAGAGCATTTAATTTATTTAATTCTCTACCTTCATTGGTTAAGAATAAATTCTCATTAAATATATTTAAAACTAGAATAAAGGAGCATTTTTACGAACCTTATTGTGAAATTAATAGAACGTAATGTGATATAGCTAGTCATAAGAATTTATATTTTGTATCTCAATTGTAAAATTATATACAAATAAATCAAACAAATCAAAAAAAAAATTGTAAATTGAAAGTTAAATCACTTTTTTCGTGCTATACTGATTTAAATTCAATTCAGAACTCTCCAATAAGTGACTAGCAAATTGCTAGTCTTTCTATTCTACAACTTGCAATTTACTAGTTATTATTAAAACAATTTACTGTTAGTAAATTACACTTGCTATTTAATAGCAAATTACCATGTGAAATGTTTGATCAAATCTACTTAAGTTCGAATCTTACGAAAAATCATCAAAAAAAGAATTTTTTGCGTCATAAAAAATTTTGTTCTAAGATTTGAACTTGGATTTTGACTAGTAAATAGCAAGGAACAAATGGAAAGTTATCGAGTAAATTACTAGGAAATTTCTGCTAGGTAGCTACCAATGTCCCCAAACAATTTAATCAGAGGATATCTAATTCAACCAATTACTCTATAAATACAGAATGAGCAACAAAAAAGCAACAGCGTATATTTCTCAAATAGAACGTAGATAGGAAAAACATTATTTGTAGTCAAAACATGTGCATTTCTAAATGTTTATTTACTCACCTGTAATTCTGCCTCAGAGACATCAATTTCGCCTCTGTATACAAACTCAATTATGAATTGTAAGTCAGCAAATGCTACTTCCGGTGGCATTATAATTACTGGATGTTTACAAGGATTCTCGGAGAGAACTTTTTGGAAATATGATGAACATGCTGATAGCACCACCTTAAAAAAATTGATGATAAAAAGCAAAAAAAATTATGAGATTAGAGTTCATTAAAAGCATTGTCATTAAGCATTTAAAGCAGTTAGAAGAGATTTAAATTTTATTTTCTTGTTCTTTTGGAGACAACTCAAGCCGACTTTAACTTCTTCTTGTTTTGCTCGTTTAAAACGTGTTGAATTTATAAATTCTTTTTTTGTGAGAAAAAAATATATTACGTGCTAAGTCATTGAACTTGCGATTTTTGTTTTTGTTCAGAATAGGAAGCAATTTTTCAAGGCTCGTTTTGTTTTTGGATTAAAAATTATAAGAATTATAGAATTTTATGCTGAATTAAAAATTGTATAGAATTAAGACAATTACAAAATAGTTCATTGTGTTCGTAGTAAACAATCCTTCAAATCATAAATTTAGCAATTCAACAATAAAGCTCCATATAAATGTATAATCAAGAGTTTTATTATCTTTCTCTCGAGTTTATATTTTTGCAAATTCTCTAATTGCCGATTACTGTGTGAATTGAATCAAATTTCGTAGTTATGGCTTGTGAATGTGACAGAGTCAATCATAGAGTAATTAAGTTCAATGAATGTTAGTTTCCAGCATTCAAATTTCAGTGATAGATAAAACACGACTTTTTTGCAAATTTTGTATGTTTGTGAGCCAATTGTGAATGATATCAATAAAAGGTTGAATTTTTACATGAACTTAAAGACTCGTTAGCAGATGACGTTTAATATTTAAAAGATCAAAAGCTTTCTTGAAGTTGATTTGATCTACAAACTTCTTATATCAAAAATAAGATCAAGAAAGAGTCCAAAATTCAATTTTTCAAGGACATTACAAGTAAACGACCTCTTAATAGATTAAAACTTCTTGAATAAATTAATATTTAATATTAATGAATGGAGATGAAAGGCTTAGAATGCAAAATATCTTAAAAGTCAAGAAACTAGCAATATATTCGCAAATTGAAAACCTGATCCAGCTAATTTGAATATTATATTTAGCATTTCCTTTCACTTAGATGCGGTTTTGATATTTCTAGATTCTGAGGTGAATTAATATTATTTTTATTTGCTAAACTAGTATCAGTTTGCATTTTAACTTCTTTAAACAGGCATTTTGTTATCAGATGTAAGTAGAAAATTTGCTTTTGAATTACTGAATATGAGAAAAATATTCTAATAAGATTGCCTTTGAAATGTATTTGATATTCATGGAAAAATAAACTTTGAAAACAATGATTTTCAAAAATAATGTGTAACTAGGCAAAGAACTTGGAAAGAATCTTAAATTGATACTAGAGATTATATTCTTTGATATTGAATTACATCCATGATTCAGATAAATATTCAATAAATTAAAAGTTATAAATTGAAACAAAGAATAAATTCATGATTCAAATCTTTCCCTACCGAGACTTACTAGCAAATTGCTAGTCTTTCTATTCTACAACTTGCAATTTACTAGTTATTTTTTAAACAACTTACTGTTAATAAATTACACTTGCTATTTACTAGCAAATTACCATGTAAAATGTTTGATCAAATCTGCTTAAGTTCGAATCTTACGAAATATCATCAAAAAAAGAATTTTTTGCGTCATAAAAAATTTTGTTCCAAAAATATTGTTTCTTGTTTCTGTTTGAAAATTTGCTAGTAAATTACTAGGAAATTTCTGCTAAGATTATAATAATTATTTCACATTTAATAGTGATATTTAATACTTGAGTCTTTTTTTGCCATTAAAGTTTTAGTTTCAAAATTAAAGAGGACAATAACATTTGTTATCGCTCAAAAATTTCAATTGCAGATAATCTTGAAATATTTATGATCTGAACTATTTTTGAGTTTACTTCAAAAAATATGATTGTTAAATTTTGGTTCCTAATTTGGGATTGTCTGGAGAACTTTCTGCATCAGAGCATGATGAAATTATCATGGCAAAACAAAAAATTACTCAATAATTTCTAATTAATCAAATGTCTTTTCATCTTTAATCTAGAACGTTATTTATCGAAATTAGTGCGTTTTCACCGTAGTTTTTCTAAAAATCTCTTCCTCATTTAAAGTTAAAAATTCACTTAAATCAATAAATCATTTTAAGGTCAAAAATCTTACTTTGTGGGCTTTCAGCGAATTATGCTCGCATGCTAATGTGACATCTAAAAATAAAACAAAAAAAATGTGAAACACTACATATTGGAAAGATTTTTTTTTTTTGGTTTTGCAAACATCGAAGCTTCATACTCACCTACGAATTTTTCCGAATTCAAGAGTTCATGAAACATATCAGTTAAATTACTAGAAGAAAAGAGACAAAAAAAAAAGAAAATAAATAAGACATGTTATGAATAAAGAACGAAAAGAAAATAAATAAACTTGTTGCTCATGTACGGAGACAAAAATTAAGATTGATGGTGTAAAGAAGGGAATAAAAAATAATAATAATAATATAAAAATTCAACTTACTTCTGATAATTATTCCATCTTAAGGAATAATATTGGTGAGGGTTTAAATGACTATTATGATTATTATTAATATTATTTGGTAATATTTGATTGGCATGATGCTTTGGTAATGAATTAGAAGATTTTGGCATATGATGTGCTTTTGGTGGCGTTACATGACTACTGTTATGACTACTTTTTGCATTACTTGTACTTGCAGACGATGGATACATAATCTTTTTGGATGATTCAGTATTTGATGACATTTTTATTATTTATACTTTTTTTTTATGACACATAAAAGTGGTGTGAATATAATAATGAAATATATTTATATAGCGTATATTTCCTAAAAAGAAACACAGAAGAGAGATATTTAAGCTTGGCGCAGATTCTTTGAGGAGGAAGAAAAACATCAGTAAAAAGAAAGAAAAGTTTTTTTTTCCGTAGACAAAAGAAGCAGAGGAAGAAAAGAAAAGAAAAAAAAATATACACGAACGAGAATGCCTTTTTTCCTGTTGCGCGACATGTATTTTTTTTATTTTTTTCTCCTTCTCATTTTCTTTTGTTTCCGACTTTTAATACAATTTTTTTGCAAGTAATCAAAGTGCAATGTTCTTCGAACTTACTTAAAACTATCGAAAACCGACTAGATACGTTCCTTCACTACCTCCCCCACTGTCAAACCGACAATAAATATGCCTTAAATTCTATCACTTATAGCACTAGAATTTCTTTTTATTTTGACTTTTTTTGGACTTATTGATTTTCCGTATATTTATGTTCTTTCATACATAATCGAATGTCCATTCGATTCTACCTAGCTTAAAATCACTATTATTATCCTTTATTATGTATATCTTCAATTGAATATAATTAATAAATCGTAAATGTTGAAGAGAAAAATATTTTATTTGTAATATATTAAGCGCCAGATAATAATCTCCAATATTCGCCAATTCATATTCCCCAATTTTTTTTGTACTTACTCAAGCTTATTTGACTTTCTTTAACGTTTTTATTCTTCCAGATTTTGCCTTGAAATAATAGATTTAACTTAATTAACATGACATTTTGACAAAGAGTTTCTAATCGACACTCATATTCAGCAAACCAACGACTTTCAAAAATTCAAATGCCAACTGAGCAAGAAAAAATTATGCGGGAAATTCTGAGCTAGTTCAAATATTCAAAACATCGTTAAAACTGCAAACAAAACAAAAACAGTTTTTAACAAAAATAATAAATTTAATGATTCTAAGATGGATCAGTGCTTTGCAAACGAAACCAATCACAGACTAATACAACAGCTATGTCCGACATATCAATTCCAAATCAATATCTGTACATTTCAAGTCAATAATGTTAAATTATTTAATTTAAGTTTAGAAAAATTAGAAAACATGATCCAGTTAAGGATTTCTGATGTAAATGCTACAAATAAGATGTATTTATGTACAATAGGTGAGTAATTAAGTTAATTATACAAGGAAATCTTGACTAATAAGCATTCATTAATTAGATGGAACGAGTTATCATGAAATTAAGACAGAACAATCACTTCAAGTCAATTTCCAAGGATTTATCGATCATCTCGTTACGATTCTAGATTCGTGTAAAAAGAATGAGCTGTAAGTACCTTAATTGAATGAATTTCAACACGATTTAAATTAATTATGGTCATTTTCAGACATATCTCACTCGTACAGAACTCGAGTCATTTCGTTCTGCAATTTTACGAGAAACGATCACTTAAGAATCTCATACATTTGTTTCTGAGAGTTCAAGAGGCATCACCTCAAGTCATAATGCATCATATGAATGTTACATTAACAAACTTGAAGGACGAAGTAGCGTCAGTCACAAGTCAAAACAATTTCCTTCAGAATGAACTTCATAAACGTGACTTTCACATACAAGAATTTCAATCAGAAATTGTAGGATTAAAGAACAAAATAGCAGAAAATGAGAATATGATATTGCACCGAAACACGGAGGAGATAAAGCGGCTGAATCAAGAGATTAAGAATGTTGAGACAAACAAAGAATTTGAGGAGAATCGACTAAAGACTCTTGTAAAGACTTATGAAGTTAAAGTTGATCAACTAACAAGAGATAATTTCGCAATAAATGAGAAATTAATGTGAGTATCGAAGTGTGCAAGTTGAGAATCTTCTCTTGATAGTTAACCACATAGCGACTTTTGGATTGCTTGACCTATAAAGAGCTATTGTACATTTTTAACGGTTTTTGAAATTTAAATAAAACTGGAATGAAATGAACTTTTTTAACTGTCATTTAAAATTTGAATTGAACTGGAATCGAGTGCCTATTAAAATAACGAATTTTAAAATTTCGAAACTTCATTTTTACGAACATTTCACTTTTACGATCATATCATTTTTACGAAAAATTATTTTTTCGACTTTCTTTATAAATTTTAAATTTTGAAATGTCGTTAATTTCATCACGTGTTCACTTCAATAATAAATCTGCAAAAAAAAGATTAATAGAACAAATGTTTTTAAATCTATGGAATTAAAACGTATTTTTTATTCGTTACAATTACAATTAAGCTTTTAACTATCATTTTTGACTACTTGCCTTTATTAAGATTAATAGCCTTTAATCTTTCAACTCGTGGCACGGATTGTCGACGGTCCATGATTGATTTAATGGAATTCTCTGTCTTTTAAAAACCTGGCATTCTATACTTTTGTGGCTTTCCAGCCAAATATTTATCGATATCCATTTCGATGGACACAAATTCTTTCCATTGAAACATTAAAGGCTATTGCAGTAGTCAAAAATGATTTAAGAGCTTAATTGCGTTTATTGCTCCTATTAACATACACATGTAGTCCATAAAATGTGATATTGAAAAAAAAAATACGTTTTAATTCCATACATTTAAAAACATTTGTTCTATTAATCTTTTTTTTGCAGATTTATTATTGAAGGGAACACGTGATGAAATTAACGACATTTTAGAATTTGAAATTTATAAAAAAGTCGAAAAAATAATTTTTCGTAAAAATGATATGGTCGTAAAAATTTAAGTTCGTAAAAATGAAGTTTCGAAATTTTAAAATTCTTTATTTTAATAGGCACTCACTGGAATCAATCAAACTTTTCAACTGTCATTTTGAAATCGAATTGAACTGAAATTACATTTACTTTTCAACTGTCATTTAAAATTTGAATTGAACTGGAATCAATCAAACTTTTTAACTGTCATTTTGAATTTAAATTGAACTGAAATTACCTTAACTTTTCAACTGTAATTTAAAATTTGAATTGAACTGGAATCAATCAAACTTTTCAACTGTCATTTTGAATTTAAATTGAACTGAAATTGCATTAACTTTTCAGCTGTCATTTAAAATTTGAATTGAACTGAAATCAATCAAACTTTTTAATTGTCATTTTGAAATCGAATTGAACTGAAATTACATTAACTTTTCAAATGTCATTTAAAATTTGTATTGAACTGGAATCAATCAAACTTTTTAACTGTCATTTAAAATTTGAATTGAACTGGAATCAATCAAACTTTTCAACTGTCATTTTGAAATCGAATTGAACTGAAATTACATTTACTTTTCAACTGTCATTTAAAATTTGAATTGAACTGGAATCAATCAAACTTTTTAACTGTCATTTTGAAATTAAATTGAACTGAAATTACCTTAACTTTTCAACTATAATTTAAAATTTGAATTGAACTGGAATCAATCAAACTTTCCAACTGTCATTTTGAATTTAAATTGAACTGGAATGAAACAAACTTTAAACGTTTATTCAAATTCAAATTTTAACCGCTGAATTGAAATAAACAAAATTCAAACTGAACTTTGGTTTTAAACAGCCCAAACTGTCTGCATTCCAAAACACATCTTTTATAAATACCAGCCCAAAAAACTAATAAGAAACTGAAGAAGCATGTGCATAAAAATTATTATTGCAATGCTGAAAGTAATGATTTCAATTTTCAATCCATTGAAGTGCGCGAGACAGAGAAATTTAGTAGCTAGATATTGACCTCTCATCAATCTTACTTCCACTTCAAGTATTTATTTCTACATTAAAGCATGTTTCTAGTAATAAAATTTTTATATATTTAATTACGTACATTTGCTTTACCTCCATCAATAAATATGCTAAAACAGCTATAGTCATTATTTTAAGTGATTTTTTGTTGCGAAATGTATAGAGAATGGTTCGATCGTTTTGGCAGATATTAATTGGTGGGCTAAGAATTTTGTTGTAATTAAGCATGAAGCTGCGTCAGAGTCGAGTGACTTTTGGTATTTAAATTAAGGAATAATTAAGTAAAATGCGCTGTAATCTCAGAACTGCTGCAGATTTAAAAATCAATTTTCAAGATTTCAAAACAGATATTTTTATGATACATATTAAAATTATATTTTTTATTGGCGTGTATATGCAAACACACATCACATTCGTGTCTGTATATCTCTCCTCAATCCTCCACCTATCAAGTATATTTTTCATTTATTATTTATCTTTTTGATTCTTTATTTTCTTATTTTTTTTTTGTTCAAGGTTGGAATCGAAGAAATATGAGACATTAAAGCATGAACTCGACGATATGAAAAAGAAATTAAATGCTATAAGTGCGGATAATAATCGACTAAAAAATAATCTCAATATATCGGATGGTAAAGAGAAGCAACAGCGTAAGAGAATCGATGATATTAATCAACAGATGGTCGAATATGAGGAAAAGATGCGATTGGCAAACAAGGAAAAGGTAATAATTCTTAATTGGTTCATCAACTCTCTTCAACACAATACACAATCATTGAATGATGATGAATAATTTATAAATTGCTGGGTTCTTTTGTGTCGAAGGAGTTTTACGTCTATTTGTGCCTGTACTTTAAATTATTACATTAATCTTTATTATTATTATTATTAATGCTATTGCGAATTTATATAAGAACAAATCGATTTTTGATTCATTTTTGTTCTGCACGTGCACTCTTTGAATTTGACTAGGTTTTTAACGGTTTTCGACAGTTTGAATTTTAACATTTGACTTTAAAAAATGTGTCTTGGCTAAAATTCTAGTACAAAAATCAAATTTCTGAAATCCGTTGAAATTCAAATTTTTGAAAATACGTTAAGATTCAACATATTAAAATTGAACAAATGCGCACAGATCTCGTCTATATCCACCAACAATAGTTCTTTCATTTATTCTCTTTTTTCTTTTCCTTTATTATTGGCATTTCTACAATGCGATTTACGTGCTCTGCACATACATAAATCCACATTCATACACACACAATATTCAGTCTAATCTGCTGGCAGAGCTAGAAGCGGAGAAACAAGTATGCTCGACAAAGAAACGTGCCCTTCAAATTGCCACCGATGAACTCGCCAAATATCAAGAAACGATAAAGCAGCATGAGCTAATGATTGAGAAATTGCGGAAAGGTATTGACTGGCGGACACTCGTTTTGCTACGAATGAATGATGAGAAGCAAAGAAATCTGTTGACTTTGGCTACTGTTGGGCAACTTGGCATGAGGAAAAATTAGGCAAAAAGATCAAAATCGTCGATAAATTGTAAGCCATTGCCTCATTTCAGGCTTGTGTATATTTCTTGAAATGCATCACATGAACTTGAATTATCACCTACACATGCTGTCTTTTCATGCTCTTTTCACGATATGTATAATATCTCCATGTGTTTCGTAAAACAATCAACCTTTTAATGTTGTCTTGAAAGACATTAATTTATAGCTGTTGAAGCCACTTTGGGCTGGGTTTGGTGGACTAGCTTTTGTGCAAAATATTTTTGTAATAAAAATTAATTTTAAATCCGTTAAATTACTTTATACAAATTTAAATTTCAGATCGCAGTTAAAAATTTCAATTTTAAAAACCCGTTTAAAATATTCAAATCTCAAAAAGTCGTTAAAAATTCAAAAATTAAAAAGCTGTTAATCAAATTTATCATCCAATAAAATTAATTCGACTAATTAATCACAATAAAAGGCGTCTTACGCAAGAGAATTAAATTTCATCTTCCTTATTAGTCGACAGAAGAGATAAAAACGGACTCGGCGACAAGCCTAATGATGCTCTTTTACTATGTATTTAAAAGAAATTCAATAAAACTTGGAGCTTAAAAGTTTTAATTTCATAAAAATTGGCGACATCTAATTGATTATGACGGGCGATCACGATTTCCCATAAGAGGAATGATCTCAGTTATCGCTTATTGATATAATAGACAGAAATTACGTCACATATTGGAATTTACTTTATCATCAATAATATTACTTCTTTCTTGCTTAAACTGTTTGTTTTCCTTCTTGTGAACATGCTTGTTGTTTCACACAAGTTCTCTCTAGTTTAATTCTCAATTCCGCTCTCTTTTATGAACAGATTTACTCTAATGTTAAGCGCCTTTTCTTTGTATAATACGATTGTCCATGTGTTTTAATGTTTACCAATTGTTTCTTCTTATTCTAGTCTCTTTCTTTTTATTACATTCATCATATGATCATAGCTATGCAGATGTATGTGGAGGCATTTAAGTCTCTCTCGCTCATTCTCACATATCGTTATTTATTCTCTTCAGGGGATGAGTAACTTTATGCGATGCAGATGTGCTGATTATGTTTTTTGATTGTGGAATTCCAATTGTATCTATTGAATTGCTGTGGCTTAGTTGAAATGATTTGTTTGTGACTTTGGTTAATAATTTCAGTTTATGAATATTTTATGATTTTCGTGGATTATTTTTCAGCTGTTTATGACATTATGAATTGGAGTAAGCTGCTGATATGTTGTACATAACAAAAGGATTCATAAAAGTGCTCTATTTAATGATTTATGGGCTTTGCTGAATGTTTTTCACCAATTTTTTGTGATATTTTACAGTAATCTCGTTTATTTTGATTTTAAAACAGGAATATGAGTTTTGTCTCTAAGCCTAGTTGTTATTGAATAGTTACATATCAGAATTGACTAGTTTATGCATTGATGTTCATGAATTTCAATCAAATTTGTCAAAAGTCACATTTTTAAGGAACAATAATTGTTCTTATTTTAAAATTTACAAAGTTGTAGAGTATAAACACAGTTTAAATTGGTTTAAATATACTTTAATATAATCAATCGTTTTATTCGACCCTTAGGGGCCGTTCACTTACGTTACGCAATAAAACAACTTTTTTCACCCCCCTCCCCCCCCCATCCCCCCTTTGTTACAATATAATACATTTTTTTTCGTGAACTTTTTTTTAAAAGACAGACGACAGTTACAACGTTACATACTTCTTGACACCCCCCCCCCCCCCCCCCTTATGTTACATTTTTGGCTACAATTTTTCAACCCCCCCCCCCTCTCCCTAAAATGCGAACGTAATAAGTGAACGGCCCCTAATGTCAAATCATTTACTATATGACTTTTTACATGTACTGTGGAAATCTTATTCACTTTTGTAAAGCCTAAATATGAAAAAAATCAATTTTAATTTAATTTTTTATAAAAATTTCTCATGGAATTACCCTTAAATATCTATTCAAAAAGTGACCGTTATTTATCCGCTCAATGTAGCTTCTTCCCCTCGATCTTAACGCAGCTTCAGACCCCTACAAAAGTCACTCATTCAAATTTTACAAAACCGTTAAAAACTAAAGTCTTTCCAAGTGCATCACATGAAATCAGTCGACAGTAATAACAATAAAGCTCCTCATCTCCTGAAATTTCATCATAAAATTCCCATAAAAAATAATAATTACGATGCACATATAAAGTTTCTCAAAAAATTTTAAATCATCGCATCACGTATATCCCCCATATAGTTCATAAACCCTCATTGTGAAATTAATTTTCATTTAACAAAAATGAAATAAAATAAAGAAGAAGAAAGAAAATCCAATTTTGCGGTTGAGTTAATTTAGTAAATAAATTTGAGTAAGTGTCGTAATGCAAATTATGCAATTTTATACTAAAAATAAATGTTTTTTGGGTAACCACAAGCATTTGTGCGCCTGATCAAAATGCATGTCAAAAACGTATCATAACACTCATTAATCTAATGCCGCATAAAAGCTATTTGTTGATGTTTCCATTACAATCATCATCATTATCATTAATAGTAACATAGTTCATTCAAGACTTACAAAAATCCAGTAAGCATGATCGTTCATTGTTGAATGTTTCCACGAACGTCCACACACTCACAAAATAGTCTCAGTTTGTAAGACCCACAGAGAGTTAAAGCAAATCAGTATGCGTACAATGTTGTGTGTTTATTTTTGTCAGTAATATTTTTGAGTTTGCCGCGATCACAGCACAAGTTTTTATTCGAGTGCTGTTGAAAAAATAAGTTTAATTCCGAATATTTTATTTTGTGGATATTGATTTTTGATTGAGGAAATTTAAAGAAAATCGAGATAATTTGATTTTAAATGTGAAAAGAACTTTTACAAAAAGTTTCTTACAATTTACAAAAAATTTTGTAAACAAACGAAAAAAAAACAAAATTTTGATAAGCGAAAAAAAAATAATCAATTTACCCAGTAGAATAATGTAAATTTACAACCGTATTGTGTCGTGTATTATTACAAGTGTAAATCATATTGATAACAGCAACAAAAAGTTGTTTAATAAATTCTATTCATCACCAAGTGTTACTGTGAATCAAAAAAAAAAAGAAACACTTTATAAAGTTTTTGTTTTGGTCGATCGAATTCGGAGTTGAGAAATGAAAAATATTGAATGTGTGTCAATGTGAATTTCCATTAAGTTTCTGTGTTTTCGGTGAAAAAATAAAAAATATCAAAATTTGAATATCAAAAAAATTCAAGAAAAAGAAATAAAAAGAATATTTTTATGGATGCTGATCACATAAAAGGTAAATGTTTGTTAAAGGCTTATTTATGCTTCATATTTCATGTCGTGAAGAATTTTTCTCCTCCTTCATCCTCTCATATCTTGAGCCTTTTCCGGCTGCTGCTGCTGTGCGACTTAAATTCGTGTTAATATCAATATTTAAAGATCTCTAAGGAAATATTTTCTGTACATGCTTAATTGCTTGGTGCCGATGGGGAAGTTGTGTTTTAAAAAAAATCATTTGAGATTAACGTGATGCATTGGATAAGATATTGAAAACTGTTTGAAATTTAAGATCCAGGCAAGATTCAGGACTGGTTTTAAAGATACAGGACAGATTTTTTTAAAGATCCAGTTTGGATTTTTGAGACTTAAGCAAGATTCAGGATTGATTTTTGAGAAGAATTCGTAGAAACAGTAGTTAAGTCTAGTTTGAGACTAGTTTTCTTTATCTGGATCTTATAAAGCACTAGTGTGACTCTTATCTTACATTAAAACTTAAGAATTCGTTCTCAAACTTATGATATTGAATCAAAAACATCCAGAATCCTCAAAATCACAATAATCTCCTGCATAACAGCTAAATCCACCCAAAACCTTCTATCCCACTGATCTCAGGTATACAAAACTTCCCATATCCATTTCAAAATATGAAATTTCATCAATAAATCCTCAAAAAAAATTCCCAGCGAGACTCAGAAAACCCATAAAAGCCCTTCCTTAACTGCCATCCGTCTACAAATCTCAAAATTCCGGCAGAATTTCAACCCATAATTCTTCTAATCCCCGACACATCTAAATATCAGTTTTCTAAGATCTATAAACATTCTTGAGATACACAAAAAACTCTTAATTTTTATGTTCTGTTCCACATTTTTGCCTTCACATTCACGACATTTGTTCTGAATATTTTTCTCTCAATTGACTACGAGTCTAGTAAATCTTCTGTTCATATTGATCTCGCGACCTTTTGATTATATTAAGAGATTATAAACACGAAAAAATTCATGAATGAAGAATTGAAATAATAAAAATAAAATAAAATTGGAGATAAGTGAAAAGTGGTGTGCAATAAACGATTTTTGATAACATAAAAGACGCTCCTCACGACTTATTCTCGGAAAGCTGTTATTGGTGTGATTTATGCGAATGTTGTTGCATTACATTGTAGTCAATGTCGTGTGATACAAGAATAATTTCTTCATCAGAATGTCGAGTTTCTGAGGAAATTGGATTGTAAATCAAATAGTGATCACGTTTTTCTGAATATTATGTCATAGCTAGTCGTCTATGGACCCCCAAAAATAAACGTGCGTCCGCAATAATACGTGCAAAAATTAAGATTGCAAGGTTATCAATAATAATAAAAAAAACGATGATTTTAGAAAAAAACAAAAATTTTATGGACGAAAAGTGTAATTAAATGAAAGTTATCTGATTTGATTGTGAAAACGCGAATTCGGTTCATTGGAAACGCACTTAACATTCTGATCTACGAATTTGGATGAGTAATGCGTTAGGAATAAAAGTGACGTTTGTTGGAAGCTTTATGACTTTAAATTGTTGGAAAAAAGTGATTGAAGTGCTAAATTATTGGATTTATCTGAATGGCACAAGACGGTTAATTGAATTAAAATCAAGCGCTATGCCTTAATCACATCAGCTTAGTGCCGGATTTCTGATCGATTAACCGACTTGTGCCATTCGAGTTAACTTCTGAATGGTTGCTTATTTTGATATCGAACGGAAATTGAGTCACTTATCTGTTCTATTCGTAAAGATCCTCCTCTGTTGAAGATTCTGAACCGTTTTAAACTCAAAAACTCTGACTCTGCAATAGAAACCAGCTACTGAAACCGATTAGAGATATATCAAGTATAATCAAAATTGCAACTAGTTAGCATTCAGGCTCAAACTACCCAAACCATAGAGTAGAGTGACTATTATCCGATATAGTACCTTTAACTCCTCCCCAAAACCTCGTCACGACCTTACTTCCTTCCGAAAACACAATCAAATAAGAAAAGATTAAAGAAGGTTTTTATGCCACCTGAAAAAGTGTAAATCCTGTTTCACGCGGCTTTTCCTTCATTAAATTAATAACTGAATAAATAATAATAATAATAATAATAAAAAAAAAAAAAAAAACCTCCAAAAATTTCAACTTGTAAACAAAAACACCACGAAACATTATTTTGCGGTATCAGATCAAAGCTGTTTGCCTGCTACAAATAAATTGACAAGCTAAAATCAAACAAAACACCGACTAAAGTAGCTTGAACTTGTGATTCTCGATTCCCTTAAATATTAATGAATAGAAGTCCCGACGAAAACTTATTAACAAAGAGGATAGACCACTAAAATTAATTAAATTGTGTGAAACATGCGGTTTGTGACTAATGAGTAGGCAAACAAGTAGATAAACTGTAAAACCACAAAGTAGTGCGTAACGTGCGAATTTTTGTTGACTCACTCAATTAGCACTTGACCAGTATACAGGCCAGTGAATTTATCATCCAGTTTTCCAACCAAGTTGATATTTTAATAAAGATCGCAAATATGAAATATAGATCACGATAATCTAGTAAAGTGGCACAGCTGAATGATTTCAATCTAATAATTGAAAATAATTTTAAATTCTCTATTTAACAAAATAAAAAAAGTCCATATTTCTATAAAAACGGAGGTAGTGTCTCATTTACATAGCAAACAGTATGAAAGAAATGCACTCAATGCAAATGCATGTATGTAAAGCAGTTGATTAAGGATTAAGATAGTAAGACATTTTCATGCTAGAGAAGAAATAACAATAATTCTTTCTTCTTCTGTTGCTGCTATTTTCTGATGATTTACAATCTTTTCGTTTTTAAGCATAATTTTTATTAATGGTGCGTTTCCTTTTGGAGTAGATGACTGCTTATTGTCTTTTTGTCTGACGACTTACTCACAGTTTGAGGTTAGGATTGAAAAATTGATTAAAAAATTCAAATATTTATTTACCGTTATTTTTCAAATATTTTTCGACCGTTATATTATAATTTTAGTTTAAATGCGCTTTATCCAGTCACTAGTGATTAATACTAGTTCATTTATTCTACGGAAGGCACAGTCAAGTCTTCTTTTTCTATTTCCATCTAAAAATTCTTTACAATTTCTATCCACTATTATGCTATACATATAGTCACAATCATGTAGAATAGTAACAATAAATGCCCATTTTTCTTACAATACTCTCTCATTCTCGTGCAAGTTAACAAATCGCGCGCAAGCGGTTGAGTTTATTTTTTTTTTTTTGAGAGAAGAATTAAAGTCAAGATAAGAAGTCAAAAAATGTGTGTAATATTTAATGATAATGTGGAATTTTTTTTTCTGTCGAGGGAAATGAATGTTGATGATAATAGAAAAATTATGTAAAGCACAAGGTATGAATTGAGGTTCCATACGAAAAATAAAGCCTAATAATTGAATTAAGCCGTGAAATATTTCATGATGGAATACTTTTCATAATGTGAAGGTGAAAGACTTACATAATTTTTCGATTGCGTGCGATGATGATTAAAATGAGACATGAGGAACAGAATGGTATCTGTCGGTTTGGAGTTTGATGTGTCCATGAGGTTTTTTTTTTGGATAGAATCTTTTGAGTTTTCGTGATTTAGTATGTTATGGATGAATAGAATGCTTAGAAACCTTCTAGAATAGCTTTTGTTTAATCATTTCTGCTTGTTAAGCTTCTAAAAATAGTAAATTGACTGTCAAAAATTCAATTTTCTAGAAATATTAACATTTTAAATGAATTTACTACAAAATTTCAATTTTATAAACACACTTCCGACTGTTTACTACCAAAACTAATCGCATTTGTTAAGCACAAGCGTAGCAAATCGAGAATGTAACGATAAATAAGTGAAAATTGTAGTATTTTTGCACAATTAATTTTTATTGCTTTCATTGACTTTTAGTGTTTTTTGTTTGCCTACAAAAATAATTGTTTGAATTGTAAAATTTTTGAATTTTAAATGTTCGTTATATTTTTAACTTTTAAATGTTCAATAATTTTTGAGTTCTAAATGTTCGTTAATTTTCAAATTCAGAACGTCAGTTTTTTTAAATTTCCGTTGTTTTTCAAATCTCAAAGTTATGTTGACTTCAAATTCTAAAATGCCGTTAATTTTTATCAAAAGTTCCAATTAAATTTGAATAAAACTTTTATAATTTCTTAATTTAAAACCTCTTATTTAGATTATAAATTCTTACTAAATTTGATCCTATTCAACCTTTTATTTGTTTTATTTATGTTTCGAATATTCAAATTTGACCCACAATAAATCAATAAATTTCAAACCTTTTTTACCCAAAAATTTCCTTAAAATTCAAATTTTAATAAATCAAATAATTTAGAATTTAATTTCTTTATTAAAACTGATTCTAATAATTCAAAACCAGCCAGACTTCAGACTCATAAATTTTCAAAAAAATCTCAAAATTTTACCTCCTATCAAATTCTATTCTTTTGTGTATCTTATATAAATGTTGTGTCATAATACACAGCATCATCATCACAATGCACACAATACCAATGGTATATTGAGAAGCATCTAATAGCTTCAAATATGAGTCGACTTTTTTTTTTGTAAAATATTTATTTAATAATTTTTCCCCATTTTTTGTCTTTCCTTCTCCGTTAGTTATAGTAAAATGGGAATGAGATAATGATAATTATTAAGTGTATTATAGAAAAAGCGAGAGACACACTCAGACAGAAAAAATAATTTTTTTTTATTAACGACGATATTATGTGGGCCCTCTGCTTGCTGCTGTCATTGCTGCTGCTCTGTAAACCGGCTGAAAAAATGTGAATTTTTTTTTGTAACAAAATTACTGGTTTACTTGTTTTTGTTGACATGCGAGTGTAATGAAATTGAAATTGAGAGGAAAAAAAAGTCACTGGAGGTTAAAAATAATAGCGCAATTTCTCGTGTGAATGAACAGCTAATGAAATGTAACACCTCAATTTTAATT